TAAGGGTGTTATCCATAAAGCAGAATATTTGTAGCTCAGGGATGAAATGAGGGGGTCTGTGATGTTCACTGAGCTTGGTTGTTTTCTTGCAGATATTTCATTACTCAAACTAGGTAACATCATCAGTGTTAGGATTTCAGACAAGTTCAGAGACCACCAAGGATCCCACAAAAAAGGTGTATAAGAAGGGACACGTTACAGAATAGGAGTAGACAAAGAGGAAGTTATTCTCCCTTCTTTTCTCATAATATTAAGAATATGATGTTCAGAGATGTAGGTTAAAGAAAGCAAAAGTTAAGGATCCTTCCAACTATCTGAACTCCTGGCAGATTCGTGGACAGCTGTGTATGATTTCCTTGTCAATAACCTGGAAGCGATTTGCCACTGCTTTTTTCCAAGTTGTTTTGCTGTCTTCCGACTTGATCATTTCCCTATAATATTCCGGTGGTTTCCCATACACGTAGCAACCAGCTGCTTAGCTTTTCTTTCATGTCGGTGATGGGGAACTCATTTTAATTGAGCCTTGAGAAACCCTGGAATCCACTCCTGTGAGAAGTAGCGATGGCCACCACCAAAGCAAATGGCCAACTTCACAGAGGGATTAAGAATTTGCTTGGACAGTGATTATCAACCTTGGTCATTTTAAGATGTGTGGACTCCCAGTACTCCCCAGTCAGCTTGCTTCTGGGAGTTGAAGTCTACACATTTCAAAAGTGGGCAAATTTGAGAAATATACTGTCCTAGAAGATCAAAGGATCAGTGTAGTTCTCTACTACCTCTGACTTGTTTCAGAATAGGAATTCCTGGGGAAGATTCATGGGAATATGTTATTTCACTCACATTTTGCCTCCGCAGATGCTCCTGGTGGTCATTCACCGTTTCCAACCACAAAAAATATACACACACACACACACACACATACACAAACACACACACACACACAAAAGATTCTTCAACTTCAAGTTTTTTTCCTTTGAACTGGTTGTGTTCTTTTTACCTTTCCCAATTGATTCAAAATGGGAACTTTGATTAAGTTAGTCAAATGAGATTGCCAATCTAAAGTTACTCATTTCCATGGTCATCTTCAGAAGCAGAATAAACACTAAAATATCTAATAAGTAGCTCGATGACCTCTACAAAACTATGTGGTCGGGCTTAGTTTTGGGGGAGGAATATAAGGGGGGAAAATTCTGCCTCTGCCTACCAGCATCCGTCGGTATTGATCTGGCTAGTGTCCTGTGAGTGTGTGAGAGAGTTGAGGGCTGCTTGGAAATTGAAACAGTATTTGCTATGTGAGCAAGAAGGAGACAGCAAGGAGCCTGGGTGTGGCTTAGCTCAAGCGTTCTGTACTAAAGCTGATCGCTGCTGTGAAAGTAAAACTGAAACTGAAACTCCTCTCCTCTGCTTGTGTTTTACATTTGGAACTGATTTTTTTTTCAGGTGGGGAGTGGGAGTAGAACTCCTTAGCATGAGAGCGTGTTAATAATGATATAGGAAATACTAATGCTGTGATGGTCATTTCAAAAAATCCTTTCTTAGTGAGCACCTAGAAGCCAAGAGGAAGATAAGTGCCAAATTTCAAGTTTGTAGGCTTTACAGTTCTGGAGATTTTGTGATGATGCGTGAGTGGTATTTCGCTTTTATATATATATATATATATATATATACACACACACACACACATACATACATACATACATACATACATACATACATACATACAATTTTACAGCACAGTGGAAAATAACAATTACAGCATAGCTATAAACAGGAATGCTGAAGGGTTATAGCAATAGTAATAGCACTTAGACTTATATACCACTTCATAGTGCTTTACAGCCCTCTCTAAGCAGTTTACAAGAGCCGACATATTGCCCCCAACAATTTGGGTCCTCATTTTATCCTTCTTGAACGGGTGGAAGGTTATATTGAAATTGCCTGGGAAAATGCAAAGCTTGTGACTTGCCACCTATAACAAGGGATTTGGAATCAAAGAATGATTATACTATTGGGGGTCCATCACAGAAAAGCCTCCATTTTTGGATTCTACCTCTCTTATCTCTGTGAATATTCACAGCAGGACATCAGAGGGATTCTAAGTCACTGTTTATCAGGGGTGTCAAACTCAAGGCCCGTGGGGTGCTTAAATCTAGCCCATGGGGCCACCCTAGAAACAGTGAGGGAGTGGTCCGCTGTGCCCCTGCCAGTAAAAATGGGCTCCCAAGCTCTGTTTCCAGCTGTGACGGCCTCCTGCAACCTTCTGCCAATGAAAATGGGCTCCCAAGCTCTGTTTCCAGATGCGACAGCCTCCTGCAACCCTCTGCCAGAGAAAACGGAGCTCGGGAGTTCCATTTTCCCTGGCAGAAGGTTGCAGGAGGCTGTTGCAACCGGAAACAAAGCGTGGGAGTCTATTTTTGCTGGCAAAGTGTTCTGCCACAGGCACCCCCAACACAAGTGCTACTGAGCTGACAGTGCCCACCCTGGCCACACACACACACACATATGTCAAACACAACCTTCATATGGCCCTCAATGAAATTGAGTTTGACACCCCTGGTGTTTATCAACCCCAGCAACTTGTGAGGGCTTCAGTTCCCAGAATCCCTGAGGTGGCCTGCTGACTGGGGGATTCTGGGAGTTGAAACCCACCCAGCTAAAACTGGCTGAGGTTGAGCAACCCCGTTCTAAGCAGAGGACACGTCTGAAGGACAGATGGCCCTCGAGATTAAAAGTACCCCCTCCCACTGCCATACTCACAACAGGAGAACATAGCACGTTCACACCCCTTGGGTGTGTCAGGATGAATGCGCAAGAATATTCTTGTAAAGTAAATGTTTCCCCAATCTGCATTCTGAAATTGAAGATTACAGAATGTAAATAGCACCCTGGATGGATTACAAAACAGAGAAATGACACATCACACACTCCTGGCATCACTCTGAGTCCATTGTAGCCTCCATGTGGGCATAATTGCATTTGTATGTTTTGGCATCCCTACGAGAGAGTTCAGTTATCCTTGCGTATATTCTACCGCCAGGAATTTAATGGCAGCCCTTGATCAGACAATGTTTGGGGGCTGCCAGCAGACTTGGGATTTTAAAAGTGTGTGTTAAACGCGCTCACAAAATGGGAAACTTTCCCAAAGGAGCTGCTAGGGTGGGCATGGCCTGCCACAAAGCCCTCCTGGTGAGAAGGCAAAAATGATTGCCTGGCATAATTTCTATGGTGGCATTCAAGTCCAAGGGCATGGCTGAAAGTAAATATAATGCTAGATCAGTGATGGTGAACCTTCTCGGCACCGAGTGCCCAAACTGGAACATGCTACATGCGCCGAAGTGCTGGAATACCAAAGACCAGCTGGCTGGTGCATGCGTGCCCATTTTTTAACTGTTTTTGGCCATTTATGGGACCGTTTGGGGCTGTTTTCAGGCCATGTTTGTGCCATTTTCACGTCAAAAACGATCCAAAAATGGTCTGAAAATGGCACAAAAATGGCCTGTTTTTTGGCCGTTTGGGGGGCATTTTTGGCCATTTTCTGGATCGTTTTCCAGACCATTTCCAGGCCATTTTCCAGGCTGTTTTCAGTCCATTTTTGGTCTGAAAACAGCCTGAAAATGCTCCAAAAATGTCCTGAAAAAGGCCCAGAAAATGGCCTGTTTTGGGGGTGATTTGGGGGCCATTTTCTGGTGCTCTGGCCGGCACATCAGAAACCAGAAAAGTAGCTGGTGACAGTACCCATGTGCCCACTGAGAGGGCTCCGCATGCTACCTCTGGCATGCATGCCACAAGTTCGCCATCATGGTACTAGATGCTGGCACTTCATTCTGCAGCATAGCAACTTTCTCTTTAAGCAAACAACCATTTTAAACACAGGAGGGAAAAGAAGGGAAGTCTAGCAGGGTATTGGTGGCCCCCAAGCGCCATGTCACCCCCTCCTTTGCCCACAGAAGGTCTCAGGTTCCTTCTGAACCTTCTCCTGCAGGCTAAGCCAAGTCCCCGTCCAAGAGCCTTCAGGGGTGCTGGTGTGGTGCGTGAGATGGACCAGTTTCCTCACACAAAAGAAGATATCTTCCATATTCTCACTCCGGCCCTTATGGGCCAGGCGCAGTATGGAGGATAAGCTATTGTATGTGATGTGCATGTCTGTAGAAAAGAGGGGAATTCCAAAATTATATTGTCCCAGATTGTCTAGTCCTGTGCCGTCATTTAAGACTATTAACACGATGAACACTATCAACGCTATTAGCAGTGGATCAGTTTGGCTTGTGTGCATCAGTCATTGTAATACCATTTTCATGTGATTATTTCATGTATTTTATACATTCTTATTTATCTTTTGATCCTGTCATATACACCTTTGCTTTCATAAATAGATGATAGGTACATGAAGCAATTCTATGACTGGATATTTTATTCTGCCTGGCTTCATAACTAAATAAACCATTTAAAATTGAAATTTTGCTGGTGCAGCTTTGCTAAGTCCAAGAGTAAAAAAAAAAACGTCCCCCTTTTAAAATTCTCCTGCCTCACCTCACTTGCATCACTTTTACTCTTCCTTCAATCACCCTCTCCCCTCTTTTTTCTTTCTTTCTTTTTTTTGGGGGGGGGGGGGGGGGGGGCAGATACCACACCATGCCCTTGCTGGCTGCAGGCAGAATTGCATTTTTCTGCATCCTTTAAAGAATGGCCGATATCCTACCAAATTGTCTCCCTCCACTGCCTTTAAAACCCTTCCACCTGATGAGCAGAAAACAAACTTTTCTATTAGGGAAACCTACACTCCGGGACTTTCTCTCCTTTATTTCTCCTCCCCTCCAAGACCTCTTTCAATTCACTTCATCTCTACACACACACACACACACACACACACACACACGCCCTTGTCCCGATATGGCAGCTCTTCCTCCCTGCCTGGTTTGCAAAGGGTTAACTGCTGCACCTGCTTGAGGAGTACCTGTCTCCTGGCACCTGTCTCTCCCAGCCAATCAGGCGCGAGAATCTGACAGAACCTACCTGTCAGCAGAACGCCTGTACAACATAAACCTCTAACTTGAAAGAAAGTCTTCACTTTACAGCTGATGACTCTCTTTCGACGGTGCTAGGAGCGCTTCAGCCAAGGAGGGAAAGGAAACTAACCATCTTTTGGCTAAGCCGACATTGGAAAACCTGGGCGGACCATGTCTAATGACGTCGAGTAAGTAGTGGACTGATTTTTCTGACCCCGCTGCGTTTCGAGAGCGACGGGATTCGAAGTTGGCTTTTGCCGCCGCCGCCGCCGCGCGATTTTTTAGCAGCTTTTTCTCACCGACAAGAAGGGGAGGGGGAAAGGATTAGGAAACTAGAAATCGACATTCCAAGCTCCTTCGGTTGTATTTCCCTTTTAAAAAGAATGAGCTGCTTTAATTAACTGGGAGTGGGTTGCTGAGTTTGGTTTTCAGAATTAATGGCAGTCTTTTCCGCGTTAGCGGGGCGTGGGACGCTACATATTTTTGCAAACTTGCCCGGGGTGCAACTGAAGTTTGTGATATTCCACCCTCCCTCTCGCAAATGCCAGTTGAGTTGGGAAAGAGTTATGTTTTGTCTCTTAATGTTTGAGGAAACAGCCGCGCAAGGGAACTGTCGTCCCTTTCCTGTAGGGTAACAGCTAAGCCGGTAGTTATTTCCTCTGGAATTTTGGATGTTTATTATTTTTGGATATGACCCCGGATTTATGGTTATTTCATAAGAATATCTCACCTGGGAGAGGATTCAAGATTCTCCCCAGGATATAAGAGGGGTGCTTCTGAATTTCTGCTGGTCGGTGGATAAAGCTGTTGGGAAGCAGAGATGGTTTTTTTTTCTTTTTCTTTCAAAAAGCCTGTCAAAATGGACATTTTATTCACCTCTTGTTGGGAAAGAACAAATAGGGGGAACCCAAAACTTCATCTGGTAGCCACTTATGCACAGTAATGTAAAAAAGAAAGAAAATGCTTTCTAGACAATGCGATTTCTGAATAGTAATGAGCACTATACAGGTAAAGGATGATTTTCTTATATAAGCAAATAGATCAGTGGCGCGCTAGATTATTAGCTAAGGCTGTTACCTGTTACAGATAAACCCACTGAGCGTAATGGCATGTACTTTTCTGCATAAGTAGATATAGGAATGCTGAGATGATGTTGCCACGCAGTTTGCTGTGGAAATGCAGGGCAAACACTTTCCTTGTGGGACAAATGTTAGGAGGCGAGGCCTGCCCCATCAGAGGTAATCTTTAGCTGGCAGGCTTCCAGAAGTGAGGGCTGACACTCCACTTGTGTTGACTCAGATAATAACATAATCTACACTCAAAGGAGATGTCCTGACAGCTTTGAAGTTGGTTCACTTGTGATTCATCCCCACATACTTCCTTTACAGAATTGGGTTAGAGAAAACAGGTGTTTAAATGGCTTGGAATGGAACAAAAACCTTGAAGTAATTTGCTGAGGATTGGATCTTCGCAAGAAGTGAAGAAGCCCGTCCTAAACTAACTTGGATTTAATGTTACGTGCGCACCTATAGATAATTGACACACCCAGTGCAGCTAATGGACGTCTCCTCACATCTTTAATAAACACAGGCCAGATTTTTTTAAAAAAACAATGCAGGCTGTGTGGGCTTTGAGATGAGTCTTTCTGAGTCTATTATTTTGGGTGTTCTAATACAGAAGGTTATAACCATGAAAAGACATGTGGATTTTTATAGAGCAAAACGTTTATTGATGAAGGCACAGCAGAGGTAATTTTACAGCAACACATAAAGTAGGGTTGTTGTTGTTTTGTTTGGGTTGTTTCTTTTTAAAGGGTTGCTTGAGGCACAATGTGGCTGGATTCTCATTTCAAATTGTGCAGTTGGCTTATTTGCAGAGAATACAGTGGTAATAATGAGATGACATTGTGGAATGAGTGAAAAAAACAGCTGGAACGATTTGTTGGATTCATACAGGCTAAAGCCATACATTTATTTGTCTGATTTAGTTTTGAAGGTGCCATCTGTTTAAACCAGGGGTCCCCAAACTTGGCAACTTTAAGAATGGAATAGAATACTTTATTGGCCAAGTGTGATTGGATACACAAGGAATTTGTCTCGGTGTAAATGCTCTCAGTATACATAAAGAAAAGGTACATTAGTTAAGAATCAAGAATCATAACGTACAACACTTAATGATAGTCATAGGGTACAATCAACAATCAAATCATACTAGGAAACAGTCAATATAAATCGTAAGGATACAAGCAACAAAGTTACAATCCTACAATCACAAGTGGGAGGGGATGGGTGATAAGGAGTGATGAGAAGATTAACAGTAATAGTAGTGTACACTTTGTAAATAGTTGAACAGTGTTCAACAATGGCTGGAGAATTCTGGGAGTTGAAGTCCACAGGTCTTAAAGTTGCCAAGTTTGGAGACCTCTGGTTTAAACCCTAAGTGAGGATAATGTGTGAGCTCAGCCGGTATTTGGTTTATTCAATAAACCAAAGTTTTCTGCCATGTGCGAAGGCAGTCTTTAACCTGAAAAGTGGTTAATTGTGATTTCTGGATCTCAACTGTAAAGAGAATGTAGTGTTTTCTCATAGAGATAGATGGACAGATGGAAAGAGAGAGATCCTTGAAATAACTTATTCCTTTGCTTGAGAACAACCTGTGCATGTGAGTTATTTCATACATCCAGGTTCGAGGTCAGTTTTTCTATTGCAATTGCAACCTGCTTTGAGCAAGTAATACTTTTCATTGCATGAAGATGGTAACAGGAAAATCCGCATTCATGGAATTTTCTTACTTCAGCCTGCCATTAATGGTGCAATGGTGGGGCTGAGGAGCAAATGGACAAGCTTGTTTCAGAGAGAAATCTTTTAGTCTTGATTTATGCCCTTTTCCACCAGTGAAATTGCAGTAAATTACAGATACCTCTTCCTACCCAGCAGCTCAGCTCAAAGATGTCCACAGTAATAACAGCTCTTACATATCTCTTGTAGCAATTTTTTTTTTCTCTAGTTGCTCCAAGCATTCAGCAAATGTCTATTTGGACATATTCCAGGGAAATATTTAAGATCGTGCCTGCTCTCCTCATTTGTGGGTATGCAGCCTGGGCCTTTTTTGATGTGCTATGAAAGGAAACTGTTTCTGGCTTGCGTGGATAGCTGTTACCATAAGCTATATCTGCCTTTTTCTTTATCTGCAAGAGTAGTAAATAAAAAACCTCTTGTACATGTCTGTGCATTGTATGTAAATGAGTAAAGCTTTAAGGACACACACGGCTGTCACCTTGGGGTTCTGGACATCTTCTCCCCTTGGACACCCCTGATATTTCCAAATCTTCAGAATGCATCCAGGATGTTTCAGGTGATTTTTCTGCTTGATCCCACTCTGTTCGATCTTTTCCAAGATTGCTCAACTGTCCTTGGCAGCATCCTTTACCTTTGCCTCTAAGGCCCGGGGCTGATTGTGGGGGGTGGGGTGAAGTGGGGAGATAACTGCCAATGGCTTATTTATGTTCTCTGTGGAATCTGCAGCCAGTTTTAGATCAGACTTGGGCTAACTTTGGCTCCTTTATGACATGAGGCTGTCTGCAATTACCTGTCTCTGTTGTCTGCAAGCTATAAGATGTGTGCATGTACACATATTCACACACACTTACACACTCATCCGTACGGAAGAACCCGTGTCTTTCAAATGATGCCTTTCCTGAGGGCAATTGTTCTATTTTAAAGGAAACCCCTTTGGATAAAAAAAAGAATGACTTTTCACAAACCATCACCACTGTGTTTGCAAAGAGTTCAGAGTTTCGGAAAAGAGAAAGATTTGCATGTTGTTCTCTCCCCCATCTCGTCCCCCCCAAAAACCATCCTTTTGAAGAATCTGCATTCTGTGGCTTTCCTTTGAAATCTTCCCGACCATCATGATTGTGTATCGGGTTGTTTACACAGCAAGTAAGAAAAGGTCTTGATTTTTCCACCGAAAAATCTATTTGAACTATTTGAAAGATAGTTGACTGGGATAGTTGCGGTGTCTCCTCTATTGTGATGCTGAACCCCCGAGCCTGATCAAAGAGCCCCACATTGTGATGCCTCTTCTCTGGGGTCTCTGCCCTGATGTCTCAACTGTCTCTTCAGACCTCTTGAATATGCAAGCCATCTTCTTTCAAAGGATCGATCAAGGGGGGACCATCCACAGAGATGCTGATGGCTTCTACCTGAAGGCACCAAATGCAGAGACAATCTGCAATTGATGACAGTTATCTTCAGGGTCAGGCTGGGGCAGGTGAGGGCTGAGGGTCTCCCTTGAAAAATGCAAGGCTTTGGAGAATTTCACAAGTCCATAAGCAGCTGAGAGAATCTTTCTGGGAAGGCTTTTTCTCAGCTGAGAGGAGGAAAAACTCTTGTCTTCGCTCTTTAACAAACTGGTGCCCTTTGGAAGTCTTGGGATTACAGTTAACAAAATAATAGGATAATAGGGTTGGAAGGGACCTTGGAGGTCTTCTAGTCCAACCCCCTGCTCAAGCAGGAAACCCTATATCCTTTCAGACAAGCAGTTGTCCAATCTCTTTTTAAAAACTTCCAGTGTTGGAGCATTCACAACTTATGGAGACAGGTTGTTCCATTGATTAATTGTTCCCATTTGTCCGGAAATTTCTCCTTGGTTCTGGGTTGCTTCTCTCCTTGATAACTTTCAGTCCTTTGCTTCTTGTCCTTCAAACATCAGTTATATATTTTGTATTAGGTCAAGAGCTTCCTCAGTGACAGCTGACCATTGTTTTCCCGGCCCAATGTCTGATTTTTTTTCAACATTGACCACTCTGTTCTTGAATGCCTGGGGTGGACTGGACATTAACATTTGAATCACTGTAAGTCCATGTATTTGCCATTATGTTAAATAAAGAAAAATAAATGTTATCCTGTTTGGGGGGTGACTCTGATCCTCTTCTGCCCTGGAATTCCCTGTGGGACAAAAACATAATTGCATGGCTGTTTGAATGGAGTTTCTGCCCTATTGTAGGGATATATCAAACACATCATAGTTTGATTTCCCCCTTGTTTGAACGAGAGGCTATGGCTGTCCACAAAGTGGTCCTTTCAGACCCAAATAAAGGTGGGTTTCACAGGGTAAGGGTCAAAAAAGCTAAAATCACAGCCACATCCAAAGGCCCGCCCATTTCTTGACATTTTGGACTCTTTCC